AGATCATGTTGATGGATTTACTGTGAATCTGGATTAAGTTCCCTTTTCATTCCCTGTGTACAAATCACACCAATTATTTTCATTGTCTTCCTTATTTACATCTGAGGAAACAACTGTTGAGTGAATGGTTCTTTCCCCAAATCTGCTTCATTCCAGTTTGCGATGGGACACAGCTGGCTGGCTCGGAAAAGGTACTTGGGTTTGCTTTACTAAGAACTGCTCAGATACATTTTGCTGAATCAGGCCAAAGGTCCATCTAGCTTTCAGTGTCAGCCAGCTAAATACCTCTGGCAAGCTCACTTTGACCTCGGCAGCTGATGGTTTCTTTATTCATGTACTGTTTGCTAAAACAAAAGACCTCTTATTGGTTTATAAGATGTTGTATTTCATAGAATCATAAAATTGTAGAGTTGCAAGATGTTAAATAGTGGGTGGACATATCAGACGACACAGCAATTCTTCAAACAGCTCTTGTTTATTCACAGGCCAGAACAGAACTGAATTGAAGGGTTCAGCCAGCCTGCTTATATAGAGCTCCAGTACAACGTAACTGTAACAACTTTCTGTAACTATCCAATCACTGAACGTCACTTTCGATCCCTTATTTGCATATGTGGACCTGAACTATCTACAGTATCCCCCTGCTGGCCAAGGGTGAGAACTTCAGTACATAACACAAGAGACCATGAGGATCATCTAATCCAACCCTTTGCAAAGCTGGAATCTTTCACCCAACATGGGGCATGAACGCACAACCTTGAGTTTAAGGTCTAATGCTCTACTGACTCAGCTACTGGTACATAACAGTGTCTCAAAACTCCACAGGAAAGGTTGTAGCTCAGTTTGCATGCGGAAGGTTCCTAGTTCAATCCCTGACATCTCCCCGTAGTGCTTGGGATTAACCCTTACCTGAACCCCAGGAGAGTTGTGCCTGCCAGTGTAGGCAATATTGAGCTAGATGGAGCAATAGGTCTGGCTTGGTGTGAGGCAGTTTCCTGTGTCCCTAGTGATGGCACCAATATTTGCATTTCTCTGATTGGAAATTCGAATCGCAGGAAAACTCATGGCAAGGTGAAGCAAATATTTGGGTCCAAGAGTTCTTCTCCATGTCATATTGCAATCTAAGACAGAAGAATTAAGGCTGCAATCTTATTCTCAGATGGCAAATTTTGGGGTCAGTGGGCATTTTGACATTCTTTTGGAATTGCGGGGGACGGGTGGCATTGTGGGTTAAACCATAGAGCCTAGGACTTGCTGATTGGAAGATCAGTGGTTCGAATCCCCGCGACGGGGTGAGCTCCTGTTGCTCGGTCCCTGCTCCTGCCCACCTAGCAGTTCGAAAGCACGTCAAAGTGCAAGTAGATAAATAGGTACCGCTCCGGCGGGAAGGTAAACGGCGTTTCCGTGCGCTGCTCTGGTTTGCCAGAAGCAGCTTAGTCATGCTGGCCACATGACCCGGAAGCTGTACGTCGGCTCCCTCGGCCAGTAAAGCGAGATGAGAGCTGCAACCCTAGAGTCAGCCACAAATGAACCTAATGGTCAGGGGTCCCTTTACCTTTTTAAAAATGTTTGAAAGGGTGGGTGGGAGGAGAGAGCTGCTTCGTTTATGTTCCTATACAGAGCTTTACAATTTTTCAAATCATTTTGACCTTTTTAAAAAATAATCCCTCTTTCGTACCGTTGAAAATGTACCTGGGAAGATGCTTTAAAAAATATAATCAGAAAGTAACTCAAAATTATTTCCAAGTTGGAGCAAGTCTGCTGCCTTGAGACCCAAATGCCACTCTCTTCTCCTCCTGAACCTCCAAGCCCAATCTTTTGGGCAGGCTCACTGGGAGGGGAAAAGAAGGGATTTCTTCTCTGGCTCTGATTAATGCCCAAACTGGAGAATAGTGTGTATGTGTGTGTGTGTGTGTGTGTGTGATGCTTGCTTCATATTTGAGTTGAGTGCTACCAGCTCCTGGAAATGCACTTTTCCAACCGTAGAAATATGAGTTTCCGTGACATTCTGATGGGGCTTATGAGGATTCCATCATACTTATTAAGAGCATAAGAACCATTGCTGTATCTCTTCACTTGACTATCAAATTTAAAGGGTGTCACATGGGAGAAGGAACAAGCTTGTTTTCTGCTGCTCCAAGGCCCAAACCAAAGGCTTCAAGTTGCAAGAAAAGGACATTCCAACATCAGCAAGAACTTTCTGACAGTAAGAGCGGTTTGACAGTGGAACGGTCTCCCTCGGGAGGTTGTAGACTCTCCTTCCTTGGAGGTTTATAAGCAGCGATTGGATGGTCATCTGTCATGGATGCTTTAGTTGAGAGTCCAATATTCTCATGTTGTCAAGCCATTGATTAAGGGGAACCTAATTCCTATTATTCCATTTCATCAGTATCAATCTCTTGGCCAAAATTAGGGCATGTGGCGCTGTGGGTTAAACCTCAGAGCCTAGGACTTGCCGATCAGAAGGTCGGCGGTTCGAATCCCCGCGACGGGCTGAGCTCCTGTTGCTCGGTCCCTGCTCCTGCCAACCTAGCCGTTCGAAAGCACGTCAAAGTGCAAGGAGCTAAATAGGTACTGCTCTGGTGGGAATGTAAACAGCATTTCCGTGCGCTGTTCTGGTTTGCCAGAAGCGGCTTAGTCATGCTGGCCACATGACCCGGAAGCTGTACGCCGGCTCCCTCAGCCAATAAAGTGAGATGAGCGCCGCAACCCCAGAGTCGGCCACGACTGGACCTAATGGTCAGGGGTCCCTTTACCTTATAATCCATTTTTGCTGCCCCTTTGTCAGTTTCCAAACAATAGCTACATAGTTCAAAAGAATATTCACCTCTGAAAATCATACATTTCCCCTGCAGCGTATCGTTTTAAGCGTTTTCTCCCAAAACCTAGCAAGTTTGGGACAAAATAAAAAGCATGCGTTTCGAAGAAGCATTGTCCATATTACGTCTCCAGCAAAGAGCTCCATGAGATAGTCCTTTCTTATACAGACGTTTTTGGTTCTGGTTCAGTCTTTGCTTAGGATCTTATCCTCCTTTCTCTTTGCACCGGATCCTTGTTAGTTCCCAATGGCTGTGCCCCCGGCAACCGTCTCTTCCCACTCCCGCCCCCCACCCTCTGCTGCAGTGTCCCAGCTAATCCCCTGTAAAGAGTTTGGATTTCCAAAACAGCCATCGATGCATCTGTCAAACGCAGCCAAGCAGGTGACATTTAGCTGACTCAGCACTTCACCCGGGTTTGACCGCTGTAGCTTCTCACACAGATAATCGCCTCTTCATAAGCATCAAATGACTTGCAGCTGAAATAGGACTTTGACAGCCCTAAAGAGAGGGGGGGCCCTCCCCCTTCTTCGGTCCCTCTGGAATGTGCTATTCAAATGAGACATATATGTACACGATTGCTTTACTTATAGCTCCCTGAATTGGACTTCTAAAGAATTTGGTGCTTTGTCAGAAGCATATTGGACCCAAACTTATGCATTGGCACCAATTGTGTGCCACCATACACTAGCAGTAAGGGACTCTGAAAAAACCCACACTCAAAGGTTGTGTGAAACTGCTCATTTCAGTTTTCCTCAGTTTCTCATTTCTCCAATTATTAAATTCAGTTCTCCACACTTCCACATCAGTTTCTGATTTATTTCTTAAAAATAAATACAGCTGTTGTGAATATTCACCTGCGTTTTGGTGCAAATTTCTTATAATATACACATTTTTGTTTGCAGCTGTGCCTCAGGTAACATATTTGCAAAACCATTTTCTGTAATATAATGCGGTTTTGTAAGTTTTTTTTTTACTGAAGCGTGCATTTTTATGCATAACCTATCCCAATGTAAACATTTTTTGGTACGCATAAATTGGCTTCTTAAGATGCAGTAGAAATGCACTGAAAAAAGTAGAGATGTGCAAATTGCAAAATTAGAGACCTGCAAATTGTGCTTGTTTGCATATTGTTTCAGAAAGAGCAAATTAGGTCCATTCACATGTTACCTGGGTCTTCTTTTTCCCTTCTGTTTGAAGATGGGGCAAACATCTTCCTGCCTCCAGTCTGCAGGGACCTCACCTGTTCTTCAAGAATTCTCAAAGATTATTGAAAGTGGTTCTGAGATTACCAATTCAGATGATAAAAAAATCAAAAGCACCTTGATGTGTGCATAATGCTGTGTTTTAATGCACATTTCGCAATGCTCCAACATTGCAATATTTCCCCCCCCTTCCTAGGTTGGTGTGCAGTCATACTAGACATGGAATTTTTGCAAGATTTTCCCATTAGGCAAGCATTCAGGTTTCTGTCTGCAAGATTCCAAGCAAGATTTCTCAATCTCCCGGAATTAAGATGGTGAAGCTGAACAGAGGCATCTAATAGCCTGTGAAAACATGGACCAACAATGGTGTCAGCCAGCACAGGCCTTTGGAGGCTTCTGGGGAGTCACAACTTTGCAGGGAGACAACAAAGTGATACAGTCCCCTAAGTGTTTGCTGGCCCCCAATTATTGGGGACCATACTGCTCACAAAATCAGCATTTTCCCTATTAGATTTGTGTCCTGGCAACCCACGCCGCATTGACCATGTGATAGGGCCGGCCCTGGAGGGCAGCAGGTTGGGAAGACGAGGTGAACAAGGCAAGGGATGGCTTGACTGTGGTAGCTCACTCGCTCAGCAAGGGTCAGCAAACTTTTTCAGCAGGGGGCCGGTCCACTGTCCCTCAGACCTTGTGGGGGGCCGGACTATATTTTGGGAAAAAAAGAACGAATTCCTATGCCCCACAAATAATGCGTTTTAAATAAAAGCACACATTCTACTCATTTAAAAACAGCAGGCAGGCCCCACAAATAACCCAGAGATGCATTTTAAATAAAAGCACACATTCAACTCATGTAAAAACAGCAGGCAGGCCCCACAAATAACCCAGAGATGCATTTTAAATAAAAGGACACATTCTACTCATGTAAAAACACGCTGATTCCTGGACTGTCCATGGGCCGGATTTAGAAGGCGATTGGGCCAGATCTGGCCTTAGTTTTCGTACCCATGCGCTAGAGCATGAGACTCTTAATCTCAAGGACATGGATTTGAGCCCCACATTGGGCAAAAGATTCCTGCATTGCAGGGGACCTTGTGGTCCCACTTACAACTCTACGAGTCTATGACTTGCAGCTCCCATGCTTACCCATTGAACATCATGACCTTTTAATAGGATGTGCTGTGCATAGACAGGGGAAACAGGTGTCGTGTATCACAAGGCAGGGATCAACATGACCCTGAACCTGATGTTTGCTAGGAGAACAGTTTTCAGGATGGTAGCATTTTTGTTTTAAAGAGTAAGCATCTTATGGAAACCCTAGATCTTTGCTGGTACCCACATATGTACCAGTTGTCTCTCATCAAGCATCCCTTTCTAGAACAATGCAGGTGCTGGTGGTGTGTATATAACACCAGCTGGTGCCTTGAGCTGTGGCTGGGAATGGCATAGCTGTTCGAACAGGTCAGCAGAACTTCTAAAGTTGGCATGGGAAGCTCTGGACAAATTAGGTCCAGGATGAAGTCTGAGTTTAGCCCGCAAAGTTGCTTCCCACTTGCCTAAGCAGCTCCTAGATGAGAGAGCTGTTGATGACCACTAGCCATGAGGCCGCTAACTCTGTCTCCTCAATTGGAGGAAGCAAATGCTTCTGAATACCAGTTGCTGGAAACTGCAGAAGGGGAAGGAGGTCTTGTGGTCAAATTCTGCTTGTTGGTTTTCTACAGGCAGCTAGTCGGCCACTGTGAGAACAGGCTGCTGGACTAGATAGGCCATGGGCCTGATCCAGAAGTTTCCTCTAATGTTCTTATGCTCATCAGCATATCCTCCAACATTTCTCCAATGGAAACAGGGATGTACTGTTTATTATTATTATTATTATTATTATTATTATTATTATTATTATTTATACCTCACCCATATGACTGGGTTACCCCAGCCATGCTGGGCAGTTTCCAACATATATAAAAACATAATAAAACATAAAGCATTAAAAAAACCTTCCCCATATTGAAGGGCTGCCTTCAGATGTCTTCTAAAAGTTGTATACAGTCATACCTCAGGTTACAGACGCTTCAGGTTGCGTTTTTTTCGGGTTACAGACCTGCTGAAACCCGGAAGTACCGGAATGGGTTACTTCTGGGTTTCGGCGGTCACGCAACGCAGAAGCGCTGAATCGCAACCCGTGCGTGCGCAGACGCACTGCTGCAGGTTGCGAACGCTGCGGGTTGCGAGCATGCATCCCGCACGGATCACGTTCACAACCCGAGCGTCCACTGTAGTTACTTATCTCCTTGGTTCAGGGGGGTCTCATAACTCCATACTCTCCGACATTTCCCTGATGTAATTGGGACGTCCTATGGAAAAGTGGGACATTCCGGGATCAAATCAGAAACCAGGATGGCTTCTGTAAATCTGGGACTATTCTTGGAAAACAGGGACACTTGGAAGGTCAGGATTATCCAGACTGAGTGGGCAATGTGCAGACTGCCTTGCAGGTGGTGTCAGTTTGTGGGCATTATCCAGGCTTTATCTGAGTGTGCATAATTGCTGGACATTATGCACATTCTCCAGAAAACTCCCATTAACCCCATAACGTAGTTGGGCTGCTGCAATGGAATCAGGTTCAAATAATTCCCTTGTTTTCTCATCCGGCTGCCCACCACCTGCCCCAGCTTCCCCCCTGCCTAGATGGGAGGTCAGGTCAAACAGATAGTTGCCTTAATGAGCAATTTACCCTCCTCCTATTTGTCCTAGGATATGGGCGGGGGAATAAATCAGGAGGCCGTTAGTTGGGTTTGTGCAGCTTCTGGCTATTAGATGTGTGTCAACGAGCAAAGGTGGGATCAAAGCCCCCAACGAGACGGCCAGGGGTCGTGAAGCATGGCTAGAGCCTAATTGTGGACCTTCCTTGGGCTAAGAGGAAGCTGGTAATGAAAGACCATTAGCCAGAATCTCCGTCTGAGCACTGGAGCAAAGAGGAGAGGAAATGTGTTTCCAGAGCAGTAGATAGGCAGGTGGGTCTGGGCTCCAGGGACCCTCACCTCTCTTTTTTTGCTGATGAAGCCCGGAGGCCTTGGCGGATCACATCAAGGATCCACTTTGCCCTGCATTCTCTTCCCTGCAATGTCCAGCTGAAGACTGCAGGAAAACTAAGAAGCAGGCATGATGCCTTGGGAATAGCCACAGCTCAGCAGCAAAGCATATCCTCTGCTTTCAGAAAGTCCCAGGTTCTATACCCAAGTATGAAGGGAAGAGGCGCCTGCCTGAAACCCTGGAGAACCACTGATGGTCAGCATTTATTTATAAAAATATTTTTATACTGCTACATGTGGCGCTGTGGGTTAAACCATGGAGTCTAGGGCTTGCCGATCAGAAGGTCGGCGGTTCAAATCCCCTCGACGGGGTGAGCTCCCATAGCTTGATCCCTGCTCCTGCCAACCTAGCAGTTCGAAAGCACATCAAAGTGCAAGTAGATAAATAGGTACTGCTCCGGCGAGAAGGTAAACGGCATTTCCGTGCGCTGCTCTGGTTTCGCCAGAAGCGGCTTAGTCATGCTGGCCACATGACCTGGAAGCTGTCTGCGGACAAATGCTGGCTCCCTTGGCCAGTAAAGCGAGATGAGAGCCGCAACCCCAGAGTCGGTCACGACTGGACCTAATGGTCAGGGGTCCCTTTACCTTTACCTTTACATAGGAAAGAAATATCTATCAAAGCAGTTTGAGGCAAGAAAAGGATGTATTTGCCCACATGGGCCTCGCAGAATAGAAAAGTTTTCAGCAAGCTTTTAAAGGTTGGTAGGGAAGGTACCTGTTGAATCTCTAGTTGCAGAGAGTTCCACAGGACTGGGTAGATGACACTACAGGCTCTGTTTCCTGTTGTTGTCAAATGAACCTCACCTACATGGGGAACGACCAACGAAGCTCCTGCGGATCATCTCAGTGATGAAGCTGGAATACAAAAGGGTTCAGGCATTCCCTGAGGTACCCTGGACCCAAGCTGTGAATGAATGAATTTTGTGAATGAATACCTGGCTCCGTAGTAAGTGGACTGCCAGCACAGCTGTTTTAACAATGGTCCTGTGTTCTTGACCCGAAGCTCCCGTCAGCAATCTGGCTGCAGCATTCTGCACCAGCTGTAGCTTCTGAACCAGACCCAAGGGCAGCCCCACATATAGTGCATTGCAGTAATCCAGCCCCAAGATTACTAATGCATGGAATAGAGTAGTCAGGCTATTCCTGTCCAGGAACAGCCCTAGTTGGCGAACTACATGAAGTTGGAAAAAGGGCAGGCCTTGCCACAGAGGACACTTGGGCCTCTAGTGACCAAGACGCAGGGCCATCTTTAGCATATGTGCCGCCGGGGTGCAGAGATCTGCCCAGAGCCCCCAAATTTAGTGCTGCCCATGTCTACACCCATGCTATATTTCTCCACGGTTCTGAGCCTCTCTGCCTTCGCCCCTCAAGAACTGGGCGCCCGAGCTCCGCAAAGGTGTGCAGCTTCACATTCAGACTCTTTTAAAAGCTCCCTAGGAGGAGGAAGGAGAAGAAGAAGAGGGATGCAGCAGCCGCGCTGATGAAGGGGCAAGAGAGCAACATCTCTCCATGCAGGGCAGGATTCCGGGGAGGAGAAAGTGGCCAAGGTGGAGGCGGCATGACAGGTAGATAGTTAAGAGCTTAGGCGGCTTCAGCGGCAGGCGCCTGGTGCCCCCCAGGATTCGGAACCTGGGTGTCCTGCACTTGTTGTGCCCCTGGGTAAAGACGGCCCTGCTAAGATGTATCCAGGAATATCTCCAAGCTATGCACTTTTTGCTCCAGTGGGAGTGTAACCCCATCCAGAACAGATAACTTGCCTATTTCCTAAGCAAGGGATCTGCCCATACTGAGCCAGATGAGCCAACAGGCTGACTGTATCATGCAGCTTCTTAGCTCATAGCTCTTTGTCCTGCTGTTTGTATCCAGTAATCAGAGGTACATAGCCTCTGATCATTGAGGTTCCATCAGATCCGTCTGTCAGTGGATATTAAACTTCCCTGAAGCCCAGAGATAAAGCTTAAATGCAGAACATATAAACATGGCAGGGTAGTAGCAGCTTTCAGGGACATGGGTGGCGCTGTGGGTTAAACCACAGAGCCTAGGACTTGCCGATCAGAAGGTCGGCGGTTCGAATCCCCACGACGGGGTGAGCTCCCATTGCTCGGTCCCTGCTCCTGCCAACCTAGCAGTTCGAAAGCACATCAAAGTGCAAGTAGATAAATAGGTACCGCTCCGGCGGGAAGGTAAACGGCGTTTCCGTGCGCTGCTCTGGTTCACCAGAAGCGGCTTAGACATGCTGGCCATGACCCGGAAGCTGTACGCCGGCTCCCTCGGCCAGTAAAGAGAGATGAGCACCGCAACCCCAGAGTTGGCCACGAGTGGACCTAATGGTCAGGGGTCCCTTTACCTTTTAGTAGCAGCTTTCATTTTCTTGGCCAGGAGAGGGGAAATTTCCTGTTAAGCTGGAAGAGGCAGGACGTTCTCATTTCCCCTCTTTCTTGGGTGCTCCATGCCAGAAAGAGAGGATCACAGGGATCACCCATTCTGTGTAGGGAGACCAACCAGAATCTTACTTTAACACTTTCAATGGCTAAAGAAGCCATGTGTGCTTGAAGAAATGTGCAGTCCAAGGTCAGTACAAAGATAAAATGGAAGAGCCTTGGAGCTGCCCATCAAGCGTCATCAGACAGAGATGGCCCACAGGTCACCTTGTCTTCCCCAGTATGGTGAGCTGTAATATCGTAGTCGTCATTTCCAAACTTGCATCTCTCAATATAAGTTAGCATGTGTGATTATTATGTGCCTATCTAGACAGAAGAACATCTAAAGAACATCTGAAGAGATGTGCTGGATGATGCCAAAGGCCTATCTAGCCCAATGCCAGGCTCTCACAGTGGCCAATGAAGTGGTGATCTACATCCTCTCTCTGTTTCATTTTAATTTTATGAATTTATTAAATTGATATGCCACCCTTAATCCAAAGATCCCAGGACAGTTCACAAGCTGACCGTGGGTGAATGACCACCCTTGCAATGAGT